CTATTAATGTTTGATCCCAGGTACGGGGATTCTTTTACTATTTTTATTTTTTCATTGTCTAGGTTGAACTTGTGAAGGTTCTCAATGGTCATTATTTTTGTTTTCTTTATGTTTAGCATTAAGCCTGCCTTTGCACTTTCTTCTTTGGTCTTCCTTAGTAGGTGTTTCAGGTCTGTGAGGTTTTCTGCTAGTATTATGGTGTCATCTGCATATCTGTATTCCATCTCTTCTATACCTTTTCCATATAGCTCCCTTTGTCTCCTTCGACTACAACCGATCCTTTCCTTTTCCACCCTTACCTCACTTTCACACCTCTCCAACTCCTCCTTTCTCCCCCTACATTCAATTCTCTTCCTTCCTACTTTTAATATTCCTTCCATCATCCCTCTTCTCCTCTCATCTGGCCTTCCACACATACTCACACCTTCTTCACTTACTTTACCTTCTTACATACTCTCTTCCTTCCATACCTAGATTTCCTCCCTTGTCTTCTCTGGTTTAAGAATATTAAGGAAGATTTCAAAGACTTCCTTAATATTATTCATTCTTATATGTTATCTGTTAACATATCTTATATGTCTTAATTTTCTTACCCCCTTTTTTTTCTTCCCTTTCTTCTTCTCAGAAAGAAAATAATAAAGGAAATGCAATTACATAAGCCCTATCTACATTGTCACCTTATTTAGCTTATATTGGGAATCCTATCACTACAATTTTCTCTCATTTCTTTTCAAAATATTCCATTACTACTCTCCATTCTCTATTTATTTCCTGTATTAAATTATTGAATTATTCTTTAATATCTGAGTGATGTCCATTTCTATGGCCTCGTATACTTTATATAACTTTATATAAAGTTCTTCTGACACTTTACTTTTCCATTTTTGGGCAAAGGGCATTTTCACTGTTGTAATCAAGTAAAATAAAATTTTCCCATATTTATTTTCTAATTCATCTTCTGGGATACCTAATAAATTTAATTCTGGAAACCTTTGAAGATTTAGCCCTAATATAGTATTAATTGCCATATTAACTGTTGTCCAAAACTTTTTTTCTAATTTACAAGTCCACCAGCAATGATAAAACAACCCCTGGATTCTATCCACATTTTCAACATCTACCCTCCATATAAAAATATATATCTTAGTTTTTTTTTCCATGCATCATATACCATTGATAAAACATCTTGTAGACATTTTCTCTTAATTTCTGTATTGCTGAGTGTTTAATTCCTTTCTTCTATATTTTTTACCACTGGTTTATATAAATTGCATGACCAATATTTCTAGCCCAAATAATCCTTTGATCTTTTATAACCTCTTCTTTCATCTCAAAATTCAATAACAATTTATATAGTCTAGAATTTGTTTTACTCACATTAAATATTTACACAATAGTTTCCTAATTCAGTTTTTTCCTTTACTATACCTCGTGTTTTTTCATCTATTTTATATCTTTCATATATTTGTCTATATGTGTACCACTTTATTCCTTCCTCTTCCAACTCTAACTGAGATTTCATTTTATATTTTCCCTCACATTTCTTCAAAATATCTCCAAATGTTATCCAATTATTTGTTTTTTAATGCTTTTAAACTTTTAAATTTTTTTTAATGCTTCTAAATTTGTTTTAATGCTTCTAAAGAAGAAACCCAAAGGGGTGTCTGGAGAGCTATTTCTTCCATACTTTTAACAATGATCTTCTTACACAGCAGTTATTGAATTTGGTCTCTATTAATTTGGTCTTTATCATATCCCAAATATGCATGCCAGCCATACCACAAACCATTCCCCTCTAATTCCAATAGTCTTGCATTGTCCAATTCAACCCATTTTTTAACCAAGTTAAACAAGTGGCTTCAAAGTAAAGTTGAAAATTTGGAACTCCCAAACTCCCTTTCTCCTGGGTATCTTGGAGTGTTTTCATTTTCACCCTAGGTTTTTCCCCACTCCAGAAAAATTTAGAAATGCCCATATATCATTCTTTAAAGGGAGTTACTGTCATAATGATCAAGATCATCTGAAAAAGGAATGATATTCATAGTAGTATATACATTTTGATAGCGGCAGTCTTTCCTATTAAAGATAAATTTAGTTTTCTCCATTTTGTCAAGTCATTTTTAATTTGAGACCAAATCTTTTTATAATTAATTTTGTTCAACGCTGAGGTTTTCTTTGTTATGGTAATCCCCAAGTATTTTACCTTTTCCCCTATTTTAATGTTAGACATTTCCCCCCCAATTATTACTGTTTTTTCCATATTCACTGTGCATCCTGAGATCTCTCAAAGATTTTCCAATATTCTCAACAAATGTTTGACACTTTCTTTAGGGTTATCCAATATAATTATGAGATCATCAGGAAATCCCTGTAGTTTATATTGGTGTTGCTTAGATCCTGCACTTCTTATATTCTCACTATCAGAAGCAAGAGAGGCAATATTGGTCATCCCTGCCTTGTTCCTTTTTGTATTTTAATTTTTCTAAAAAATTATCTCCATTGATAATTAATTATGTCAGTTGCTTTTTATATAGTTCTTTGATCCAATTCATAAAGTTCTGGCCTATCTTTATATATTTCATAATTTCAAACATTCTCTGCCAATTGACATTATCAAATGCCTTTTCAAGGTCTAAAAAGACTAATGCCAATTTTTTTTTATCATGTTTGGATTCATAATATTCTAATACATCTAGGATCACCCTTATATTCTCTCTCAATTTTCTCTGTGGGAGGAACCCCCATTGATCATCATTTATCCGTGTTTTCAACCAATTCTTAAGTCTTTTAGATAAGATTAGTGCAAAAATCTTAAAATCAATATTTAAGATTGAATGGGTCTATAATTTTTAGGGTCTCTATTCTCTTTGGTATAAGAACTATATCAGTTTCTCCCCATGACTCAGGCAACCCCTCTTTTAGCATGCTATTCATATTAAGCTGCAACTTCTCACATCTCTTCTTCAAATGTTTTACAAAACAATGCTGTTATTCCACCTGGGCCAGGGGCTTTATCTGTTTTACATTGCTTGTTTTACCTCTAGTAATGTTAATGGGACATTTAACATTCAATAGTGGTCTTCCTCTAACTCTTTCAAATTGCTATTCTTTAAATATTTTCTAATTTTGTCTCTTTCAACTGTTCATTCTTCATATAATTTAGAAAAGTATTTTAAGGAGATTTGTTGTATCGTTCCTTAGTCTTTATTTTATTTCCTTCTTTTATATCTGTTATAATTTTTTCTTTCCCTTTCCTCGACTTATATGTTAACCATTTACCCACTTTATTAGATTATTCAAAATTTCTTTGTTTATTTGCCTTTAGTTTTTCCTTATTTCATCAATTCTATTGAGGTTTGGTTTTTGTATTGTCTAGCCCACATTTTACTATTTTGTTTGCAAGAATATCATGGGGGACCTTGTCAAAAGCCTTACTGAAATCAAGATATGCTATGTCTACCACATTCCCTTCATCTAGCAAGCTGGTAATTTTATCAAAAAAGAGATCAGATTAGTCTGGCATGACTTGTTTTTGAGAAACCCATGTTGGATTTTGTGATTATGGCATTCCTTTCTAAATGTTCATAGACTCTCTGTTTAATGAAATGTTCCAGAATCATTCTCGGTATTGATGTCAGACTAACTGGGCTATAGTTGTTGGGATCCTCTTTTTTCCCGTTTTTGAAGATGGGGACAATGTTTGCCCTCCTCCAGTCTTCTGGGACTTCTCCAGTTCTCCAGGAGTTCTCAAAGATTAATGCCAGTGGCTGTGAGAGTACATCTGCCAGTTCTTTTAATATCTGTGGATGTAGTTGATCTGGTCCTGGAAACTTAAAATCATTTATATTAACCAGGTATCCCTGTACTACCTCTTTACTTATTCTGTGTTGCATGTCTCTTATTGTGTCCTCTGCTCCATTTTCCTCAGGTTGAGCACCCTTT